TACAAACTAAAAAGAATTGACTTAAGTGGTGAAGCAGCACAATGCCAATATATCACAGTGTTTAGTTCATCAGCTGAAGCTCCAACAAGTTGATCAATGATGTACCGAATAATGTTAGCAGTGAACAAAGCTAGGCCAACACACTGGGCCAAATATGCTAAGCCAAATGCAAGCCACTGCAATACTTCATGGCCATCACAGGTTTGTACGATGAATCCGATCCCAGACATAATCCATGATATGAAACATAATATCATACCAATCAGTATAGCTTTGTATCTTCCAATCCACACATCAGCCAATAGCCCAAAGAAAGGAAAAGATAGATAAAGTAAAGACTCGGTATAGGTAAAAATTTCAATATAATCATTGAATTTCAGAGAGTACCAATCAGTTCCAAATTGAAAGTACAAAAGATGATCCCAAATAAGAACCAAGACAGCTGAAAAAGAAGTAATGAAGACCAACTTGAAACTCTTTGCCATAGTCAGATTCCTTCACAGCACAACATTTAATTAAAAGTAAACTGGAAGCAGGGGTGGATCACTGGATCTAAGGGTGGGCCAGGCTCACCAAAAAGTTTTTTGTAAAATCAACTTTTTCATGTGAATGACTATGTAAACTGTGAAGCATGACTATGCAAACAATTTGTAAACCACAAAGGAGCTCATTTTAAAAGCTGTAATTTTCTAAATTTTGACTTTGATGCAGGCTTTGTTGGCCACACCCAATAATTACCACACCCACATCATCAAGGCCCACCCAAGAATCCAATTCTAGATCCGCCACTGACTGAAACAATAAACTACATTTTGAAAGCGCGATAACAAACAACACACATACAAAGGATAACAGTGAAAGGACCATCAAACATGAAGTAACTCAAACACGTTGCTAGCAAAAGAATGCAATATTTGCAAGCTAATACATTGAGTATGTCACTAACTGTATCTGTATTGCGTTATTCCACTGAGAGTAGCCTCACTCCTCTTAATTGTGATCCTAAGATCAGTCAACCCAATATCATGTGCCGGTGGTACTACACAGAGACACTGGGTCTCGGTCAGGTAGACCCCGTCAGTCGCAAGAGTACCAAACTGACACTTTGTAATATCATTCAATTCAAAGATAGGTCCAGACACAAATAGTAGTTCTCCACCAAATATCGATCCAAACCTGCGACTAGGTATAACTGGATATGACCCTGTAATCAAGCAAATAAATTAATAAATAAAAAATAATAATAATACTGTACCTTGACAGGCTACACCAGCATCTTCATAGTGTCTGCAATATTCAGCATCCAATACATCTCTACTGCAGTTTAATAAATTACTCTCAGTACCAGTACACTTCAAACCAGATAAAAAGATTGGACCTGATCCTTGACCGTAGAAAGCACCATAACGTGGTCTAGCTCCTAAACAAAAAATGCATAATTATTCCAGCATAATATCAATGCATCAACATCATTTATGTGTGCATATACCTGAAGGATAGAGTCCTAGTTGAGCACACACAATATTAGCATCAATAGTGTCCCATCCTCTATCACAGACAGTGCCCCATACTCCATCAATACAGATCTCTATCCTTCCTTGTGTCAGGGTACGACCGCCAGTCAACCTAACCTCACCATGACTGCAATTAGAATAAACAGTATCGGCCCCTAGAAAATGAATAATAATTCCAGTTTAATATAATTGTTAATATACGCATAATAATAATTCCAGTTTAATACAATTGTAATTGTTACATATACACATTTAATATACTAAATTGTACTACCTTGGCAGATTACTCCATAGTCAGTGTCTCCAATGCATGCTTGGACATCTCCGGCTTCAGCAAATTCACATTCTTCCATTGAGCTGATGTTCTTGCTACTTGGACAGTAAATATTAGCTCTATATGATGGTATCAATGGGGCAGAAAACCTCTCCTTGATAACAACAACACCTAAGAAATATATATAAATAATAAAACATCATTATTTAAATTAGAATATTTTTCTTACCATGTGGTGAGTAGCCTAGTTGTCTACACACTACAGAGCCTGCTTCATGAGGAAATGAGCAAACTCTATGCCAAATCCTGTTCCTACACAAATCAACACGTCCCATGTTAGCGTATGGAGTACCAATGATACGAACTGATAGCTCGTCACAGAGTCCTACAACACAATGAGATTTACATGTAAAGAATTACAGGATAGACTCCTTTACTTTCACACTTGGCACCAGCAGCCTCTCTATTACAAGACAGTAGAAGTGAGTAGTAATTTCTGCTGCAGTTCAAGAGATTGCTCTCCTCTCCGTTACAAGCAAGACCAGCCAAAGAGAGAGGATAAGAGCCTTTACCATAAGCAGACCAATACACTGGCTTTGCACCTGTTTTAATACCCAATAAAATAGACAGTATGGTGAGTATTCAGTCACTATACCATATTTCTGATGTCCTAGTTGATGACAGATTACGTTAGCATCCATTGTGTCCCAGCCAGAATCACACACAGTCCCCCAAGTATTGTGAATGCAAACTTCAACTCTTCCTTCAAGAGGAGAGGGACCATCTACTAGCCTCACTTCACCATGACTGCAGTTAGCATATAAAGTATCTGCAGCTATGAATAATAATAAGAAAAAGAATCTATTATTAGTAGGGAAATATTCTTCATACTTTGGCATATGATACCAGCAGGCCATTGAGAGCTACACTGGGTATATGAGGTCCCTTTAGGACTGAGATGAAGTGGACATTGAAATATTGTATCTTCGTTTCCAGTACAGTTGACGTCATGAGCACTCATTGATAAATCATCATATACCAATACACCATATGCTGCCAT